TATATACCACCAAAATGAATTTTTACTTCTGTTTATTGAAGGATACAAGAAACAGATCGAAGATCATGTACCACAGCGTAATATTGCTAACCTGCAGTAGAAGGACGCTATGCACAAAACAAAGTAAAGACAGCCTAAGGGCGGCTCCTGCTGTTGTCAAGTCCCCAGATTTTTGCCTCGCATCAGGAGTAAGGAGCTAAGAATTTTTCTCTGGAATTCTTTTCTGTTTTTCCTTTTTTTCGCTGGTTCTTCAAGCAACTGTCCACTGGGCGACATGTTGATGACATGATTGTAGACAGGGGCTGACTGACAACACATGGGGCCACCGGACAAAACAAGATTATGGGGGCCCCTTGTGCTCTGCCCATATACAAGCCCCACCTGCATAAACATTCTTTGTGTCACAGAAATGTTTTCTCCACACTATTTTTCAAATAGTGGGCCAATTCACTAAAAGATGAATTGTCGGGGAACTGTTAGGAGAATTTCAGAATCTAGACCAATATCGGCAATTTGGAAAGTGAGCTAAATTGCAGAATGCATGGCAGACCTCAGACCAGAACCAAGACATGACAGACCTCAGGCCAGAACCAATACACAGCAGACTTCAGACCAGAACTAATACACAGCACACTTCAGACCAGATCCAATATTCAGCCGACTGGGCAGTTAGAATGACACATGCACAGCGACATCTCCGGGATCAGCCATCACACACAGACTGATCCATGTGGGATGTCACCCGCACACGCGTTAGTGGGCACCTCCTTCCATGCCAGCACACGTGCTCACCTTTAGCAGGTCCAGCAGGTATGTGCAGCTGTGTTACAGCGCCGACGGCAGTGTCTGTTGGACCCGGGAGGCGGAGGACACTGCCCCGCCCCTTAAACATAGCTGCATCTACTAGTTTGGCTGCGGTTCGGCCGAAAACAGCAAAGACATGGCGCACACAGCTGCCTCTCCTTCAGTGGCGACTCTAGGAACAATATATGGGGGGCACATAAGATACCACAGTCAAATCTGGGGGAGCACTAATAATTTTCATTGCATGTCACAACCGCTGATCGCAAAGAGAGCTGATTAAATTTTGCCCACAATCCTGAATACCACAACTGCCGAGCGCCAACGCCATCCACAATTAGGTCAGCTCTCCTCGCCCGGTAGGTGCTGAATACAGCAGAGACTGACTGGCAACGTTTAGCCCAGGGGTCAAGTACAACCCAGAGGCCCATGGTGCAGCAACTTGGCCCCGCTCTGCCTCTTCCCCTGCCTTCTCCCCACCCCTGCCTGCCACTTTTGCCATCCATGTAACGCTAGTGTGAATGGTCGGGTGATGTGAGGACTCCTAAAAAGGGGTGACTGGCTGGGGGATGGTGCTCTCCTACCACTGAGCTCCCTACATGGTTCTGTCTTTACTCTGCTCCATGTCCGGTACTTAGGCACTCTCACTCACTGTAGGTCACCGCTCGCTGTCCATGCTTCTGGCCCGTGAGCAGTGGGAGGGGCCGGATAGTGTCAAAGTCAGTGTTCTATAATTGTTCTCGATCCTATACATTTTCTCGACTGTGTGACTTCCAGTGGGACTGAGTCATTGGAATCAGCTGTTTTCATGACCCCCCTTTCTTAATGACATGCTCTCCTGGAAGAGATGCGGTAGAGAAATGTATGGGTTGAGGAAAATTAAAGCACACTGGTAGTGGAGATATGCCTCATCAGTGCTGTGCGCGTGTACGACTGCTGCGACCCTGGTAGTTCTGCCACTAACTCCAAGCTGTAGAGGGACTACAAATCTCAGCACAATATACAGCAATGCAGAGTAATACCATCAGCTATAGAGGACTATAAATCTCAGAAATACATTGTACAGCATTGCAGAATGGCATTGGCTATAGAGAACTACAATTCCAAGCAATACATTACAAAACAATGCAGAATACCATCAGCTATAGAGGACTCTAAATCCCAGCAATAATACATTATACAGCAATGAAGACTACCAACAGCTATAGAGAACTACAATTCCCAGCAATACCATTATACAGCATTGCAGAATAGCATCAGCTATAGAGGACTACAAATCCCAGCAATATATATTACAGCAATGCAGAACAATATGAAGCTACATACTCTGTGTTGCTCTGGGTTCGCCGCCTAATGTCTCCAGGGTCTTAGGAAGGTTGTGCGGACTCTCCCTAGGGGTCCAGAGAGTTTCACGGGTGCGTGTGGACGCAGGAGAGGCGGCTCCCTAATTAGGCTCTCAGGTGGCCAATGCAGACTGTCTGTTGATCAGTGCGGGCTCTCTGCTGGTCAGTGCGGGATCTGTGGTGGCCAGTGAGGGCTCAATAACAATTAGTGGGGGCTCTGTGGTGGCCAGTGGAGGCTCCCTGGTGGTTAGTGGGGGCTTTCTTGTGTAGGATTACCATTCATCCCCGATTTCTTGGGATAGTCCCCGGATTGAGGAGACCATCCCCTGACAAATTATGTCCCCGGAAACATAAAATAAAATATATTTTTTTTGAAGGAGAACTATGGAGTAAGTGTTTTTCCCCATAGTTCTCCTAAGGGTCACGGGAGGACATATACTAGTGTCCTCCCATGACCCAAAGCTCAGGGGGTGGCAATATATAGGTGTTTGAAAGAGTCTATTTATATAGCGACATCTTAAAGTGTAAACTAAAAAAACTCCTAAATATATTCAGTTAGCCAAAAAAATAGCATTGTCTTTTACTTTACTACTGATTTGGTGGTCTACATAGATACTCATAGCAAATCAATAAAACTACTGCTACAATTTACTAGTGACATGCGATACCTTTGCTTCCAGTTGAGGCATTCCCCAGCCCCTCCCCCAGCATGCACAGCCCCGCCCATGCCCAGATGAAGCCCCTTCCCCACGAAGCCCCGGCTAGTGCGAAGGAGGAAGGGCGGAGACAGGGAGGAGCCTCCCTGTCCCTTGCTTGCTCGTCACTGCTGAGGCATCGAGATCGCTGACCTCAGTGGGTTTTTTTCTTTCTTGGCCATTGGTCCATTGCCATTGGTCCAAACCATCCACAGAGCTCACGCCTCTAACAAAGAGTAGAGGCTGTGACAGCTCTTGCCTCACTAGTTAGTGGGGAAGCCCGCTGCTGTGTAACCTAACTACCTGTCAAAAGCTGGATGCAGCGCCGCCTATAAATAACTGGCATGACAGGTTACCCAGCGGGGAGGCTTTCCCTGCTGTGTAACCTGTTACAAAGCCGACCTGAATGGGGAAAAAGCTGTCAGCTTCAGACTCGACTTTCCTTCATAATACTAGGTGACCCCTACAGCTATAATAAGCATAATGTAACACAGAAAAACATCACAGACCATGAGTGCCGGATGAATAATATATATTATTAAACATATTCAATATGCAAGATCTTTTGGTGTCCAACAAGATCCATCCCTTTATCACATCATCACTTACTGTAGTTGTGGGCTAATGCTTTCTTTTGTCCTGTGGTCTTGGACATTAAAATGTAGTTCAGATATTCCACGTAATGTGGCAAGTGAACTTATCAGGCTCCTGGCTATCTCACATGCTTCTTGCTGTCCCATATGGGAGATGGGTGACCAAGCTATATAACTTCACTACAGTAGAGATAAATGAGGTCACCAAATAGAAAGAACTGTCTAGCAGAGCTGCTTAACTCTCAACACTGGCTGGGCAAAATTACATATCATTTGGCTAATAAATTAGATTCCATATAATATATGTATGTATTTCAGATGTGTATTTTGCTATTTGCCTAAAATTTTACATTTAAGAGGGCCAAAATTTAAATAAA